GCTTTACCTGCTATGCCATAGCGCCAGCCCCGGGAGCTAATTAAAACATCAGAAGATATCATTTGATACACACTAGTTATACTGGAAAGTCTTTAAACAGTGTTGGTAGGAATGTGGATTGGTACAACTTTGGGAAACAATTTTGTATCATAGGCATGCCATATAACAGTTACCTTTCAAGTTAAGTGTCACATTAGTGGGTCCTTGTCACTTTGGGATGACAAGGCAAATATTAAGAAATAAGGAGTGGGCCTTTGGCCTCACGGTTAAGATGCTAGTTCAGATGCTTGGATCCCATATCATGGCACCTAGGCTTGAACCCAGCTCCATTCCTGATTTCCAGCTTCCTGCTCATGTACACACTGGGAGGCAACATGTAGTGGCTCATGTCTTTGAGTCTCTGCCACTCATGTGAAATATATATATATATATTTAAATAGGAATAACTCACTATCTCCTACTATACATATATATATATATATATATATATATATATATATACATTTACACACACACACACACACATATATATATAATAGTCCATATATAATATACTGGTACACTGGTATCATATGTAGTGAATTATAATACATTCCTGTTTGGGTAGACTGTAACTACTTACATTCATGATGAAACTTAGTAACATTGTGTCATGTGAAAAAAGTCTCCCTCATGGTGGCAGGAGGCCCAAATACTTGGGTCATTTTCTGCTACTTTCCCAGATACATTAGCAAGGAGCTGGGATTCAGACCAACACTCCAATATGAGATGGCAGTGTCACAAGTAGTGCCTTAACCTGCTGCACCACAACCCCAGCCCCAACATATGTTCTTCTGTATGTATGCAAGTACATGGAGGGGCCAACGTGACATAGCAGGTTAAGCCACTCCTAGCAACACCAGCATCCCATATGGACATATGGGATTGGGGTCCCAACTGCTGCACTTCCCATCCAGCTCCCTGCTAGTGTGCCTGGGAAAGCAGTAGAAAATGGCCCAAGTCCTTGGGCCCCTGCACCCATATGGGAGACCTGGATAAAAGTCCTGGCTCCTTGGGGCCGTTTGGAGAATGAACCAGCAGATGGAGGATTGATCTCTCTACCTCTCTGTCTCTCCTCTCTCTCTAACTCTGCCTTTCAAATAGATAAATAAATTGTATTTAAAAAATTAGTTCAGGGGCTAGTGCTGTGGTGCAGCAGGTGAAAGCCCCTGCCTACAGCACTGGCATCCCATATGGGCACCGGTTCTAGTCCTGGCTGCTTCACTTCTGATTCAGGTCTCTGCTGTGGCCTGGGAAAGCAGTAGAAGATGGCCCAAGTGTTTGGGGCCCTGCACCCTCGTGGGAGACCCGGAAGAAGCTCCTGGCTCCTGGCTTTGGATCAGCTCAGCTCTGGCCATTGTGGACATTTGGCAAGTGACCAGAGGATGGAAGACCTCTCTCTCTCTCTGGCTCTACCTCTTTCTGTAACTCTGTCTTTCAAATAAATAAAATAAATCTTAAAAAAATTAGTTCATGGAAATTAGAATTGAAATCTGTTAATTTTTGGTGCAAAAAAAAGCCTTGAAATCTGCATAGTGTTTTTATAATACACATTTTTCCATGAACTTTCTGAAGACCTCTCAAATGTATTTATTTAAAATTTTACACCAGAATAAACTTATCTTTTAATTCCATGAACTTAAAAAAAATTTTTTTTGAAGGCAGAGCAACAGAGAGGGAGTTATAGACAGAGAGATCATCCATTTGCTAATTCACTCCCCAAATGGCCACAACAGCCAGGAACTCCATCTTACTCTCCCACATGGGTGGCAAGGGCCCAAGCACTTTGGCCATCTACCACTGCCTTCCCAAGTGCATTAGCAGGAAGCTGGATTAGAAAGAGTAGCCAGGCCTTGAACTGGCACTCCAGTATAGGATGCCAGCATTGCAAATAGCAGTGCCCTGGTACCTTTTCATGAACTTTTTGAAGTCCCCCCATATTAAATATTTCACTAAAGGAATCTGGCATTCATTTACAACATATGTGTGAGTGTATTTTTATATCCATTATTATACAGTTGTCTAATTTCTTTCCTTTGGTATGTTCCTAGGTGCTTACTTACCAATTTAAAAGACATGTTATCCATTTACTCTCAATTATCTTTCTTTTTAAAAAAAGATTTATTCATTTATTTGAAAGAATTATATATAGAGAAGAGAGAGAGAGAGAGAGAGAGATCTTTCATCCTCTGGTTCTCTCCTCAAATGGCTGTAATGGCCAGGGCCCAGGCTGAAACCAGGAGCTTCATCCTGGTCTCCTTCATGGGTTCAGGGGCCCAAGGACTTGGGCCATCCTCTGCTGCTTTCCCAGATGCATTAACAGGAAGCTGGATTGGAAGTGGAGCAGCTGTGACTTGAACCAACACCCATATGGGATGTCGGAACTGCAGGTGGTGTCTTAACCCACTACACCACAGAGCTGGCCCAAATTATGTTTTTATATGCATAAATTTTAAACTTTATGTAGCCAAATCATGGCACATGTTTAGGAAGGCCCCAAAGATTATAGAAAATACCCATCTAAAATTTCTTCTAGTCGTGTTGTTGTTCCATTTAATTCTTGAATTAATCTGGAAATTATTCTGATATAATGTGTGAAGTTGAGGTCTACCAAATTTTTGTTGCAAATGGCAAGCCAGATTGTAAGAAATTTATTTATTTATTTTTATTTTTATTTTTTGACAGGCAGAGTGGACAGTGAGAGAGAGAGACAGAGAGAAAGGTCTTCCTTTGCCATTGGTTCACCCTCCAGTGGCTGCCACGGCTGGCACACTGCGGCCGGCGCACCACGCTGATCCAATGACAGGAGCCAGGTACTTATCCTGGTCTCCCATGGGGTGCAGGGCCCAAGCACCTGGGCCATCCTCCACTGCACTCCCTGGCCACAGCAGAGAGCTGGCCTGGAAGAGGGGCAACCGGGACAGAATCCGGTGCCCCGACCGGGACTAGAACCCGGTGTGCCAGTGCTGCAAGGCAGAGGATTAGCCTAGTGAGCCGCGGCGCCAGCCAGAAATTTTTTTGAAAGATTTTTTTATTTGAAAGGCAGAGTTATAGAGAGGCAGAAGCAGAGAGAGAGAGAGAGAGAGAGAGAGAGAGAGAGAGGGAGGGAGGGAGGGAGAAAGGGAGGGAGGGAGGGAGAGAGGGAGAGAGAATGGTCTTCCATTTGCTGGTTCACTCCCTAAATGACCACAATGCCCAGAGCTAAGCTGATCAGGAGCCAGGAACTTCTTCCAGGTCTCCTATTTGGGTGCAGAGGTGTAAGGACTTGGGCCATCTTCCACTGCTTTCCCAGGCCACAGCAGAGAGCTGGATCAGAAGTGAGCAGCCAGGTTTTGAACCAGTGCCCATATGGGATGCTGGCACTGCAGGCAGTGGCTTTACCCACTATGCCACAGCTGGCTCCTATAAGAATTAAATTAAACAAAATTTAGGTGGCTGCCTCTACACTGTTGTTTGTGTGCCTGCTAGGCCAGAGTTGTGTTTTTGCTGGTAGGGGATCCGTGTCTAAAGATTCACTGGAATGGTGAGCCCCATGTTTGCTTAAACACAGTGCAGATAAAACCCCTTAAATTATCACACTGATTGGAGAAATGAATCCCATTCTCTCTTATTAGGCATATGAGGTGGGATTTTTAATCAGCAAAAATTATTTTATGCACTTTTAAAAATTTTATTTAGAAGGAGAGAGAGCTCCCACCTGCTGGTTCGCTTCTCCAATGCCTATAACAGCCAGGAACCAGGATCCCAATCCAGGTCTCCCACATGGATGACCCAAATACTTGAGCCATCACCACTGCCTCCTGGAGTCTGCATTGGCAGGAAGCTCGAGTCTGGTGCTGGAACCAGGAACCAAATCCAGGCACTTCAATATGGGTCACAGGCATCTTCTCCACTAAGCTCCACTCCTATGAGTAGAATTTTGCAAGTCCTTTTGTCAGCCTTGCCCTTCTCGTCCTTGTAATTTCTCAACTTCAACCTTAGGAGCAGGTATCTCCTGATTGCTGAGCCATGGGTTAAGGGCAAAGGGCAGCTATCCTTGGGGTGGTCTCCTCTGGGCAGCTTTGTCTCCGTTACCATTTGCTACTGAGTTTCATACCCCAGTGAGTTTTGAAGACATTTTCCATTTGGCTTCAAACAGGAAAGCAGTTTATCATGGCTCTAGGAATACACCTTCCCGGCTTGCTTCTGATTCTGGCATTTAAGTCATCAGAGAAACTAATGTGTTATGGTATGTAGAGTAAGTCAGAGGGTAGCCCTGTCCTATGGCTAACATGTCTGCCAGATGGAAAAGCATAGAACAGCCGGCCAGCATCACCCAAGGAGTTTGGATCCATTGGAGAGGCCAGCCTCCCACTGGAAGATTTGTTTCTGGTGGCTTCTGTGCTTCCCTAAAAAGAGTACCAAAGGCTAGCAGACATTGGCCATTAGAAGAACTAGATGTCCCATAAGGTGCTTTCCCATCCTAAGATTTTCTGTTTCTCAATTACGATGTGTTCGATTCTTTTGTTTTTGTTTTAATAAGAAAATGTGATTTCATAGACAAGTGTTAAATGATGAGATGCCCAGCACCGTGTTGGTTATTTCTGTGACCCTTTGCAATCTCAACCTTCTGTTCTTTCTCTTGAGCTCAGCCATTTTTGATCCCCCCCTTTCCTGTGTGGAGCCCCCTGCAGGGCAAATAAGCCTTCCCTCCATTGGGTCCTTGGAATGACTGTCAGTCAGACAACTGGTGGTCTGTGGCGACCTGCCAAGCCTGCAACTCCTTCATCACCTTTCAGTGACTGATTTTTTTTCCCAGCATCATATGTTGGCTACAAGGAGAATGAATGTAGCCTGACAGTATGTAGGGCTTAAAGGTTTTGTTGCCATCCTGTTTTATTCTCTTTTCTTGGGAATTGACTCTTTAAAGTTTGGAATTGAATTTTAACTTGTCTAATACCAAGTTTTATTTTTTATTGAAGGCTGTTTCTGATGCTTGGAAGCTATCCTTTCAGCTGCAAAGATGGTAATAAACCTTTGTCTCCCACAGTTCAGACCAAGAGTCCACTGCAACAAGGTAAACAAAACAAATATATACACATAAACGTACAATCTGTATTTGTTCGCGTTTTTCCCTGTTTTCTGCTGTGGATATGTGGACTTGAGTCAGGCATCCTGGGCCCTCACCGTTTGCGGTCCCTCCAGCTGGTATCTCAGCAAGCCTGGGCCAGGCTCACTTCTAGAACAGAGAGCCCCAGTGGGAGGAGAGCTGTGGCTCATTTTGTGCAAAGTCTTCTTTCCTCTAAGATGATCAACGTCAGTTCCACCCAGAGTCAGAGCACAGAGAGAAATACTGTCTGCCCCCAGTTCTTCTTGCTGGTATTTCTGCTAGCAAGTACTTGTTATTTGGATTCCTTGTTGCTTATTCTTTGAATTAAACTCCCTCCCCTGTTGTGCAAAGGAACATATCTGATTTACAGAGCAGAGCCGGGGACCAAGGAGACACTGAAGCCCTTCTCCCATGTGGAGTCTGCACACAGCGCACTGTTTCACGTTCCCAGATGGTTAGGCCCACTCCTTCAGATAGAGATATCTTAAAATTGCTGTTGGTTGTAACAAGTACTAGCAATACGAATTACTTATAACCTACACCCCCAGCACATCCACTGTTCTCAGTTTATCGTGGTTTCTCCATGATCCTTGTCCTTTACACACTTTTTTTCTAATCAAATTTCTTTTCCTAGACTTACAAGAAGCTTGTTTTATTATATTTATATATTATAACGGTTTCCTAGGGAAACTGGTAATAGTGGTAGAGTCCAAATATGAAAATGAGAATTTAAATGAACATTTTTGTTTTTCCCTTAATCTGCATTTTGTATCCTCTCAAATTAAAAGCCACTAATATTTATATGCCCCCTTTTCACCAAGATGTCATTTTGAAGGGACTTTTGATTGGGTTGGGCAGAGACTTGGTTGTCCTCAGTCTTTGACCTGATCTTGGGTGCTTGCCCCCCCCCCAAAAAAAACAACGGGGGGCAATTCAGTCCATAGGAAATTCTTGAATGAGGAACTTCAGACTTTGTTTAAAGAGCTTTCTTAGAAGTGACAGATTCTTAAGAACTAGTTCCCCTCATTTGGATCAATGTATCTCATGTTTGTCATTCAACGTAGATATCAGCTGATGGTTATGAAGTAGAAAATCTCATCTCTGAAGACCCCACAAAGAGAAGCCATGGCTTTAGGACAGAGTATTTCATTAAGCCACCAGTCTACGTGACAGTGTCCTTTCCCTTTAATGTGGAAATCTGTAGGATTAACATAGACCTCACAGCTGGGGGCGGTCAGAACATCACAGGCCTGGAAGTGTACACGTCCGCCTTAGCCAGCAGAGCATCTTGGAGTACGCCTGAGTGCCAGACCCTGGGCCCAGCTGAGCCACCTGTCCCGGACAAGGAGGCCTTCACTTTGGTAGGCAAAGTCTTACTGAAAAACCAGAGCCAAGTGGTGTTTAGCCACAGGGGCTTCAAGGCCAGGCCACCTTTTGGACCAGTGGAAGTCACACTCCTCTCCCCTGCTGTTGTGGCACAGGAGCTCTGGAATAAAGGGACTCTTTCCCTTAGCCACGTGGCCCATCTCAAGATCTGCATCACCCACATGACAGGTGGCGGTGTCCCTTGCATCAAACGGTTGGAAGTGTGGGGTCAGCCGGCCAAGACCTGCTCTCAGGAGGTGATAGACAGCATCCTGCTGGTTGCCTCAGAGAGCCTGCCGCAGGACCTGGCTCCTCAGGCCCCGGCCTTGCCCATGGAGAGTGACTGTGACCCCGGGGGGCAGTTGGAGGGCCAGGAGGCCCCCTCCAGCCTGCAGGAGCTGGCTGAGGGAATTCAGGATGTGCCCGAGGAGTTCCTGGATCCTATCACCCTGGAGATCATGCCTTGCCCCATGCTGCTGCCCTCGGGTAAGGTCATCGACCAGAGCACGCTGGAGAAGTGTAACCGCAGTGAAGCTGCGTGGGGCCGAGTGCCCAGCGACCCTTTCACGGGAGTAGCCTTCACTGCACACTCCCAACCCCTGCCTCACCCCTCCCTGAAGGCCCGGATCGACCACTTCCTGCTCCAGCACTCCATCCCTGGCTGCCACCTGCTTGGGAGAGCACAGACTGCATTAGCAGTGACCCCTTCTTCCATTGCTCTGCCCTCTCGGAAGAGGAAGATGGAACTGGCTGAACACGCCCCACATAGTAGCCTTGGTGTCAGTGCTTCCTGTTTTTCTACCACAAGCCCTCCGGTCTTACCCACTACCTCAGAGCACACCGCTAAGAGAATGAAAGCCAGCAGTGAGCTCGGCTTCACGCACATGGACTGCTCAACAGGTAATTTGCCACCCTGTGTCTGGGGCCCTTTGCCATCCCTGCTCTTGCCGGTGCCGCCGCCCAGCACCACTGCCCTCTGCCTTATGCTTGCCAGCTGAAATTCCTCAGACTGGTGCCCAGGCCTCCTGCTCCTCTCTCCTCAGCATGCGGTCCCACAGCTCTGTCCCCGGCAGGCCCTGCAGGGTTAGCATGTTCTCACCGAGCAGGCTTCAGTCTGCGTGTTTGCTGCTCCACCCAGTGATCCACACTGGCTGTTGTGCCTTCCTTGGGCTCCCTTCATGTGCCCTGGCCCGGTCCACAGTTCTTACTTGCCTTGAAGCTTCTGGTCAGAGCTGCTGGAGAGACATGGATCCTTCAAAGCAGACCATTTGGGACACCTGCATCCCATATCAGTTGCTGGTTCCAGTCCTGGCTACTCAGCACTTCAGATCCAGCTTCCTCTTAATGCATCTGGGAGACAGCAGATCATGGCCCACGTACCTGAGCCCTGCCACCCACATGGGAGCCCCAGCCTGGCTCCCTGGCTTCCGGCTGCAGCTTGCTGTTGTAGGCATTTTGGGAGTGAATCAGCAGATGGAAGATTCTCTCTCTCTCTCTCTCTCTCTCTCTCTCTCCCTCTCTCCCCTCTCACTCTCTCTGTCACTCTGATAAATAAGTCTTTGAAATAAATAAATCTAAAAAAAAGAAAGCTTAGAGAATAGAGCAAAATCAGTAAACTGCACTATAAAATTGATTAAAAGGTCAGTGATTTTTTGGAATATAAGAAATAGGTAAGAGTTGTTTTTTTTTTTGTTTTGTTTTGCGGGGCAGCCCTGAGCCAGCAATTTGGGCAGGGGCCCTGTCCTGTTTCCAGGTCGTGCCCCACTCTGGCCTCGTGGAGGGCCAGGGGCTGTGCGCATACCCAGGAGGGCTGGGGCTGGCACAGACGCCTCCCTGTCCCCCACTGTTGGCTCGGAGCAGCTCCTTTGATTTTTTTTTTTTTTTTTTTGACAGGCAGAGTGGACAGTGAGAGAGAGAAGCAGAGAGAAAGGTCTTCCCTTTGCGTTGGTTCACCCTCCAATGGCCGCCGCGGCCGGCGCGCTGCGGCCGGCGCACCGCACTGATCCGATGACAGGAACCAAGTACTTCTCCTGGTCTCCCATGGGGTGCAGGGCCCAAGGACTTGGGCCATCCTCCACTGCACTCCCTGGCCACAGCAGAGAGCTGGCCTGGAAGAGGGGCAACCGGGACAGAATCCGGAGCCCCGACCGGGACTAGAACCTGGTGTGCCGGCGCCGCAAGGCGGAGGATTAGCCTAGTAAGCCACGGCGCCGGCCTAAGGTAAGAGTTTTAAAGTTAGTTTCAGCCGGCGCCGCGGCTCACTAGGCTAATCCTCCGCCTAGCGGCGCCGGCACACCGGGTTCTAGTCCCGGTCGGGGCGCCGGATTCTGTCCCGGTTGCCCCTCTTCCAGGCCAGCCCTCTGCTGTGGCCAGGGAGTGCAGTGGAGGATGGCCCAGGTGCTTGGGCCCTGCACCCCATGGGAGACCAGGAAAAGCACCTGGCTCCTGGCTCCTGCCATCGGATCAGCGTGGTGCGCCGGCCGCAGCGCGCCGGCCGCGGCGGCCATTGGAGGGTGAACCAACGGCAAAGGAAGACCTTTCTCTCTGTCTCTCTCTCTTACTGTCCACTCTGCCTGTCAAAAAATAAAAAATTAAAAAAAAAATAAAGTTAGTTTCAGAAAAAGAAACTGCTATTTTAACTAAGTTTAGCATAGATTTTTAAGAAGCAATATAGTCGGCCGGCGCCTCGGCTCAATAGGCTAATCCTCTACCTGTGGCGCCAGCGCGCCGGGTTCTAGTCCCGGTCAGGGCTCCAGATTCTGTCCTGGTCGCTCCTCTTCCAGGCCAGCTCTCTTCTGTAGCACGGGAGTGCAGTGGAGGATGGCCCAAGTCCTTGGGCCCTGCACCCACATGGAGACCAGGAGAGGCACCTGGCTCCTGGCTTCGGATCAGCACGGTGTGCTGGCCGCAGCGCGCTGGCCGCAGCGGCCATTAGGGGATGAACCTACGGCAAAAGGAAGACCTTTCTCTCTGTCTCTCTCTCTCTCACTGTCCACTCTGCCTGTCAAAAAAATAAATAAATAAAATAAAAAATAAATACAAAAAAAGAGCAATCTATAAGGCCGGCGCCGCGGCTCACTAGGCTAATCCTCCGCCTTGCGGCGCCGGCACACCAGGTTCTAGTCCCGGTCGGGGCGCCGGATTCTGTCCCGGTTGCCCCTCTTCCAGGCCAGCTCTCTGCTGTGGCCAGGGAGTGCAGTGGATGATGGCCCAAGTGCTTGGGCCCTGCACCCCATGGGAGACCAGGAGAAGCACCTGGCTCCTGCCATCAGATCAGCGTGGTGCGCCGGCCGCAGCGCACTGGCTGTGGTGGCCATTGGAGGGTGAACCAACGGCAAAGGAAGACCTTTCTCTCTGTCTCTCTCTCTCACTGTCCACTCTGCCTGTCAAAAAATAAAAAAAGAGTAATCTAGTCATATAGCTTAAACATTATACATACATACACACATGCACAGTTTGTATGATTATCCTGTGGGTTTTTTTCTCCAAATTTTATTTATTTATTGGAGAGGCAGATAGAGCACTCTCATCTGTTGATTCATTCCCCAGATACCTGCAATGGCCAGAGCTGGGCCAAGCCAGAATGGGGGGCTGGGAACCCCATCTGCGTCTCCCACATGGGTAGAAGAGACCGAATCACTTGAGCTACTGCTGTTGCTTCTCGGGGTACACGTGAGCAGGAACGTGGGGTCAGGCGTCAGAGCCAGGCATCAAACCCAGACACTCTGGGGAGGGATACCAGTGTGTTTGTCTTTCTTCTTTTTTTAAGCAGAAAAGAAAGCCAGAGACAGATAGCTCCCAGTCACCGGCTCACTCAGCTAGAACTGAGCCAGGCCAGAGCCAGGAGCCAGGAGCTCGGTCCAGATCTGCCACATGGTTGACGGGGATCCAACTACTTAAGGCATCACCTCCTCTGCCTTCGAGAGTGTGAAATAACAGGAGCAGAGTCAGTACTTGAACCTAGGCACTCACATATGGACGTAGGTATCCAAAATGGCATCCTTTTTTTTTTTTTTAAGATCTATTTTATTCATTTGAAAGGCAGAGCTAGAAAAAGACCACAGAGAAAGAGATCTTCCATCCACTGGTTCTCTCCCCAAATGACACAGTGACCAGGGTTGGGTCACAGCGAAGCCAGGAGCCAAGAATTCCACCTATGTGAGTGGCAGGGGCCCACGCACTGGGGTCATCTACCACTGCTTTCCCAGGTGCATTCCCAGGTAGCTGGGTCCGGAGTGCAGCAGCTGGAACTGGAACTGGCACGCATCTGGGTTTTGCAGCAGGCTCCATAACTTGCTGTACCCCAAGAGCAGCTCCCACAGCAGCATCTCACCCTCTAACCAAGTGCACGCTCCCGGATGCAGCGTCTCAGCTGCTAGAGCACGTGTCCGTCCCTGTTTGCTATGTTTTACTTAGGACTTCTGCATTCATTAATGAGCTTGGACTACGGTTATGTGTATGTGTGCTATCTTTGTTTTAATATCAGTGATCTTGTTCCATAAAAAGAATTTGGAAAATTTTCTTTCCATACTCCTTTCATTCCAATACTGTGGAACAGTTTAATAGTATTAGAATCATCTAATCTGTATGCTTTCAATAGAGTTCCCTGGAGACTATGAGTACACGGTGCTTCTGGAAGATAGCGCTTTGACAACTTTCTTTTCTTGCTCTAAAAGGTTATGCAAATAGTACGCTTAATGGTTACATCTGTGTGTTTGCTCCTGAGAGTAAATTTCAGTTAACATGATGCCCAGAAACTCCTGGAAGCATCAGAGATGTGAGGGGGTGAGACAGGGAGTGGTCCACAGACCCCAATATCTGCTTGTGGGGGTCTCATGGTGTTGGCTTTGGCACATGGTGACCTGGGACCATACAGACTAGTGCTTCTTCAAGGCCCTTTGCCTTGACAAAATGTTCCGCTCCCCTCTTTGGGAAAATCTTGAAAATTCTGCTACCAGACAGGTCCCTGGGGCCTTTCTTGGACACCTGTCCTCTTCCCCTTTAGCCTCACCCTTGTCTCATGGCTTGGCTTCCTGTCGACCACACTCGGGGTTTCCCTGGATCGTGGAGTGATCAGAGTGAGGTCCTAGTTATTCCACGTGGTACAGCTGCTGTGCCTTTTTTTTTTTTTAACAGGACACAAACCATTTGAGCACACAGGCAAGCAACCCAGCAAAGTAGGGCCTCAGAAGGGAGGAGACAGAGAAAGAGAGGACTGAGAGGTCGCTGGGGAGGGAAGCAGAGGCCCGGAGCTGGTTACAGATCTGGTGTTTGCTTGCCTGTCATTTCCTAGGCCAGCAGGGAAGCCTTTTGAAAGACAGGTGCAGTGCTGCAGTAGAGCCACGAGATGGCCCACACCTGCCCCACAGTGTGCCCGGGGGAAGGAAGGCTGAGTAGAACCCAGGGCAGGCGGGCTGGGGGGGAGCTGGCCAGGTTCCCGGGCTGTGACTCCTGTGTTCTGTCGTCACGGTCCTGCAGAGGATAGCAGGAAGAAGTCTCCACACTTATGTGTAATAGGAGGCGGAAGTGCCATCTCCATGGTCCTGAAGAGACTTGTTCTTTTGCTGAGCTTCGCTCTGGATGTTGTGACCTGTGCCTCTCTCAACAGGTCCTGTGTCCCATGAGCAGAAGCTGTCACAAAGCTTGGAAATTGCCTTGACGTCCACCCTTGGCACCATGCCTTCCTTCACAGCCCGGCTGACCAAGGGGCAGCTCCAGCACCTGGGCACAAGAGGGAGCAGCGCTTCTGGGAGGCCAGGCACCAACTCAGGTAACGGGCCCCTTGTAGAGGTTCACCTTCCGATCCATGTATGACATGCAGGACACACCTGATGCCGTCAGGTTGCTTCCCGTTTGGCCCACAGGAGGCACCCAGGCCAGTCCACTCTCTCACTTGGCATAGCATTCTGGGATGTTGAGGCAGAGGGCACGCTTTAGGGGATGCTGCGTTCTCTGGGGCGCTCAGCACAAGGACCGAGTTGCAGTTCTTGGTACCCGTCCCTCTGTGTCAGTGTCAGGCCCGTTCATGTGGATTGAGCACAGGCCATGTAAGGTGCCATACGAGGCCCCGAGAGTAAACAGACACTGTCCTCACCCTTGAGAGGCTTCCAAAGACAGGACAGGAAGACCTGGGGGTAAGAGAAGGGAAAAGCAAAGGAATAGGCAGTGGGGGAGGGCTTCCTGGACGAGGTGTGATGAGCCCCACCTCATGGTAAGGGCATTCTAGGCAGAGCACAGGTCGGCCCCACAGCAGCCGGGTGTGTGCAGAAGAAAAGGGGTTTGAAGTTGCTGGACCCTAAAGGATGAGCATGTGGGTGAAGGTTGAGGGGGGGTTCCAGACTGTTCCGGAAGGCATTGAGATGGTCCCAGAAGGTGGTGTAAAGCAGAGGCCTGGGGCCAGGTTGTACGGTGTCGCCCCAGGGGAGGAGGTGTGCTGAGTGACCAGGATGACAGCAGGGACAGAATGCAGAGGAGGGGCGGGCTTCAGAGGCATTGCCAAAGGAGATTGGGTTGGCAGCTAGACTGGAGAAGCGGACCACAAGGAAGATGGGTGAGCCACTCCAGAGGGCAAGGAGGTGAGGAAGGGGTCGGCACAGATGCAGCTTGGGGAGGCAGAGGTGACAGGAGCTGCCTGCTGTGACCTTCATTCAGGACACCCTGTGGGACTTGGGGGAGGAGGCAGAGCTTGCCCAGCAGGCGGGGCTGCCGGCTCAGGGCGGGAGGGAAGCGGCACACAGACCTGTCGCTCTGCGACCTCCCTTCCACCCTGGACCATTTGCTGCCTTTTCCTTTTCTTGTCGCATCTCCCTGCAGTTTCTGTTGTCGGGGAGCTCGTCCCTTGTCCTGGCCTTGGCAGCCCATCTCAGGGGAAGTGGCTTTGCTAGGAGAGCAGGAAGAGCCCAGGCGTGCCCAGTGCTCTCCCAGCGGTCATGGGAGTTCTGAGATTCAAGGGAGTTGAACGAATACCTAGAGGGGCCCCCAGGCTCCCCACCACCCTCTCTTCCCAGTTCACCAGAGGCGGGCTGGGGGGTGAAGCCGCAGACACCTGGGCGCAGTCTTCCCTAACCCTGGCCTCTCTCCCTCCCTGATGTACCAGAGCAGCCTGGGAGCATTCCGGGCCCCAAGTGTGCCTCCTGCGACAGCGTGTTTTCTCCCTACTTCAAAAAGGAGCCAGTGTACCAGCTTCCCTGTGGCCATCTCCTGTGCCGCCCCTGCCTGGGTGAGAAGCAGCGCTCCCTGCCCATGACGTGCATGGCCTGCCAGCGGCCATTCGCCAGCCAGGACGTGCTGCGGGTCCACTTCTGAGTGACTGCCTCAAGCGGAAGACCTGTTCCCAGCAGGAGCTGAGAGAGAGGAGCCAGGTCACGGCTCCCTGAGCCAGGCCAGGTTCCAGGCCTAGAGCGGCCTTTTCTTCCTCTGTCACCTCACAGTGTAGCACACCAAGTGAGGGGCCGGGCAGGGCCCTCCACTCCCGCTCAAGTGGCAATAGGATAACAGAGCCATAGGCTGGGCCCGGAGGGCTTGGCCCGCCCTCCTGTGCCTCCCAAGAGCCCAGGGCCTGCTGGAGCCAGGCCCACCCTGGCAGGAGCTCCCCTGCTCAGAGCCCCCAGGTTGTGTTCAGTGCCCTCACACAGTGGGGCTCCGCCTCCAGGGTCGCCCAGAGGGGGCCTGGAGCATGGGCTGTGTAGCGCCTGACTCAGCCCCCAAGGACAGATGCTCCAAGCCTTAATAAAGTGATGGTGACGTCCGCTGTGGGCTCCCTCCTGGCAGAGCACTTGTTTGTGTCGTCACATTCTGTCCCCCCACCCCCCGCATCACATGAGAAGAAAGAACTGTCACAGGGCAGCCACCTGTCAGGCGGTGATTCATGGAAAACTCGCGCTCTCAGATCCGTCCTGTGTGTGAGGGCCCAGAATCGGGTTTGCAGGTGGGTGGGTGCGGTTGGCCGGAGGCAGGGGCCCCACCTCCCTCTGGCCCAGCACTCGTGTAAGCTGGGCCTCTAAGGGGATGTGTGTAGCCATTGCAGGGAAAATACTTGTTCTTAGGCTACATTTTTTTTTTCCAGTTTAGCTTTAGGGAGCCCCAGATGGAAAGTATGTATCCTGACAGCTCTGTTGGCTGTCAGGTGGATCGTGGATCCTCGTCACAGTAGCCTGTCAGGAAATGGACCCTGCTTCTCCAGTGCCTTCCAAGCACGTTTGAGAAGGAGCAGTCCAGAGATGTCTTGTTTCATCCTTGAACCCACCAGCAGGCCCTGTGGACAGGACAGGCCAAGGGCCGCACATTCCTGCTCCCTGCAGGCCCTCTGGGGCTCCAGTCCGGACCCTAGAATTTCCAGATCTGGTGTTGGCCTAGCGACTGCAGTTTCAGATTCCAGGGCACTTGACTCGTGCACAAAGCTGGCTGCGGAGAGGTGACGCCCTTCTCCCTACACTCCCAGTGGGGCCCTCACCTGAGACCCGGGCTCTGCACTGTGCCCTTTGACTTCCACTGTCTGTGCCAGTGTGAACTTGCCCTACCTCCTCATGTGCTGTGTTCTTGGAAAGGCCTCAGCAGCCGTGGTCTCAGGCTAACAGCTCTCTTTGCGCCCCAGCAGAGCCCTCTGATGCTGGGCCCCTCTCTGTGCAGGATGACCTGCCTACCTACCCCGGAGCCCCAGCACCGCCTGCAGGGGCCTGGCGACCTGCGTTTCTGTCAGGGCTCAGCTCCCCAGGCAGCTGTGGCGGGAAAGCAGGCATGGGAGCCACAGGGGCCAGCAAGACCTGTCCTGGGCCCAGGTGGAGCCACCCCACGAATCCCGGAGATGTGTCTGTATCTTCAGACCAAAAGGAAGCAGTCTTTTCAGCCCCCTTGCCAGAAACGCTAAGCCCTGTGGGGCTGTTGCTCCCTAGAAAATAGGAACAGAACTCTTGCTGCCAGCCGGCCCCCCGGGTGGGGCAGTTTATTTCTCACCTGAGCCTGAGGCCAGACACAAAATGGCTTCCCAGGAAACCCACAGAGTTCAACTCCATTGACCAGGGCCCCGCAGCCTTGCCGCGTCCCCGCTGCCCTCCAGAGACCCTCTGCCCGCTCGCCTGTCCACAGGGTCTGTGGGCCACGCATCTCTTCCCCTCCCTGAGCTATGTACTCTGAGGAGGCACGAAGTCCCCTGGGGGCTTGCAGCTCCGGGGCCCTGTGGGAGCAGGAGGCAAGACTTTGTCACAGCTTGGTGAGGCGAGGGGGCGCCAGTCTCCAAATCCCCACTCTTGAGAGGCAAAGGCCAGTCCTGGTCTTCTGCCCCATGGGGCCATGACGTCATTTGCAGGGGCTGAGCCATGGCAGCTGCCGTCACCGTTGCCCCTTCAGCCAGTGCACAGGGAGAACCAAGTTCTGAACAGAATTAGTCCTGGAGGTAGAAGAAGTAGAAGAACCAAATCGCCAGGAAGAAGAGGAGCAGCTGTTCGGTGCTCACCGAGTAGCCAGTCTGTCTGCAGCTGGGCGGCCGGGCCCTGCAGCCCCTGGGTGCTGGGGCTGGGTAGGTCCCCCTAGCCCCACACCTGCCCTGCTTCTTCCTGTGGGTCTCCAGCTTGAGGCCACTCCGCTGTTGGGCTCTTTCCCATTCACCAGAAATGGGTCCCTCTGACGCCTGGCTGCTGGAAGTAGGTCTGCAGACAAAGAGACCTGCCCCTGGAGGGAACCGCCCACGCTCCTGCTGCTCAGCCTCCCCCTGTGGCATTGTGACAGTGGGCTGCCAGCCATTGTGATGGCGGTGGGCGGGGGAGGGAGCTGCGCGCGGCCCCTCCCTCAGATCCCCTGTAGGCAGTCTGTGCGCAGGACCCAGCCTGCAGCTGCCCCGCTGTCCCCTCACCTGGCCTCACAGCCCACTGCACAGCGGCATCTTCCAGTTCTGGGCTGGAAGGGGAGTGGCTGGGCTGAGAATTTGCCCAAAGCTGCACTGGCCAATGTGGTGGGTTCTAGCCACATTTAACTACTTAAATAAAACGTAAAACAGTTCCTTGGTCTTGCCAGCCACATTTCACATACTTGATGGCTGCATGTGGCTAGTGGCAGCTGTACTGGACATCCTGATACCGTTACAGAAAGCTGGGCAGTGCTGGGCCAAAACATGACCCGTGAGAGCCTGGCTCTGGCTGTCGCCTTCCTTCTCGTGCACCTGTGCCCTGGGAGAGGGGGAAGCACCCACACACCAGGGTGGGAGAGCAGGGTAGTGAGGGAGAATCACACGGGCCTGATCTTTGTCTGTCCCCGATCCCTGCACCGGGCGCCAGCTGTGACACTCTCCCTCCCTCAGAAGGCTCCGTCTGCCACTCAGCAAAGGCCCAGAGAGGCGACAGGATCTCCAGAGCAGCACAGGGCGAGGTGAGGACAGAGAACCAAGAGGAGGTCTGCTGGTGGCTGGCTCGCGTCTTCCACCGAGGTTGGCGTCAGTAACAGGACACCACCCAAAACCACAGTGCTTCCCTTAACATTTCCCGGACATCTGCCCTTGCCATTGGACATGACTGTCAGCTCCTGAGCAGAATAAGCCAGGGGAACCCTGGAAAAGAGTGGTCCGGGGGCCTGTGTTGTGCACAGGGGGTTGAGCCACTGCCTGGAATGCCTGCAGCCCATATCAGAGTTCAGGTCGAGAAGGGGAAGAACTAATCCATGGTTACACAGACAGATCGACAAAATAAAAATGCAGAAACAGGCCCAACAGCATAAAGAAACTGAGTACATTATAAAGGCAGCATTGCAAATGGATGGGGAAAATGGGCCTTTCAGCAGGCGGTTCCTGGAGTCACAGGGAGAACAGAACCAGGTAACACCCAGAGGAAAATGGAAACGAGAGAATTCCTGTATAATCTGGGGGTGAGAAAACTTTGGTAACTGATTCAAAATTCAGACATGGGAAGGGGAAGACTGGCGAATTTGACTACTTGAGAGAAAAGTGTGTGTGTTGTGGCTGCTTCACTCCTAACCCAGCTCCTGCTAATGCACCTGGGAAGGCAGTGGAAGATGGCCCAAGTGCTTGGGCCCCTAACACCTAGGTGGGAGACCTGGGTGAAGTTCCAGGATCCTGACTTCAGCCTGGCCCAGCCCTGGCTGTTTGGTCCATTTGGGGAGTGAACCAGCAGATGGAAGATCTCCCTGTGTCTTTCTCTGACACTCTGCCTTTCAAATAAATAAAAATAAATCTTAAAAAAAATTACAAGGGATTGGCGCTGTGGTGTAGCAGGTAAAGCTGCCACCTGCAGTGCCAGCATCCCGTATGGGCACTGGTTTGAGTCCCAGCTGCTCCACTTCCGATCCAGCTCTCTGCTAAGGCCTGGGAAAGTAGAAGTTGGCGCAAGTCCTTGGGCCCCTGAACCCTCATGGGAGACCTGGAAGAAGCCTCTGGCTCCTTGCTTCGGATCAACAGCTCTGGCCATTGCGGTCATTTGGGGAGTGAACCAGCAGATCAAAGACTTCACTCTCTCTGCCACTGCCTCTCTGTAACTCTGCCTTTGAAATAAATAAATAAAATCTTAAAAAAATACAAGCTAGGAAAATAATTTGTGACTTGTATTACAATGATTAATAATATATAGCTTCGAAAAATGAGAGATTCCCAAAGACATGCAAGTGACTTTTAAACATTTTTTTGAAATGCTCAACCTTACTGTATGAAATACAAAGGACTATAAGGACTATGAACACTATTTCTTTGCTAGCGGATTGGCAAGAGATCTCTTTGGCCTCAGTCTCGAGGCGAGGCTGAGGGTTGGCAGGCGTTGTCTGTTGCACTGCTGGGAATACTGGGCACAGCCTCTAGTAGAGGGGAACGTGACAGCATCTAGCCACGTCCAAATGCATGTGTCCTTCGACCCAGCCAACCTGTTTCTCGGATTCCAGTCCAAGGATTCTCTGTTCCAGCCCCAGCAGCGAGCAGCCTGGTTATGAGCCATCCCACCACCCCATGGAGGGACCAGCTCCGTCTGGCCTACAGGTGATTTGCACATATGTGATTTTGCTTCTGTTATCAAGGAGATTATGGAGGCCCTTAAAAAACTCTGAATTCAGAGGCTGACATTGGCGCAGCGGTTAAGACACTGCTTGGGATTCCTGCATCCTGTGTCAAAGTGCCTGGCTTCTGGTTTCATCTTGGCCCAGCTCTAGCTGTTATGGGCATTTGAGGGGGTGAACTAGCAGGTGGAAGACTTCTCTTGCATAGAAATAAAAATATTAGTTTTAAAGACCTTTGTATTCAAAGTTAAAAACAATGTGTATCCAGCACAAGGTCCTGGGCTAAGTGCGTTTTATGTGTTTATTTATTTATTTATTTATTTTTGACAGGCAGAGTGGACAGAATCCGGTGCCCCGACCGGGACTAGAACCCGGTGTGCCGGCGCCGCTAGGTGGAGGATTAGCCTATTGAGCTGCGGCGCTGGCCTTTTATGTGTTATTTATTTTAAGATTTTGTTTATTTGAGAGGTAGACTTACAGACAGTGAGAGGGAGAGACAGAGAGAAAGGCCTTCCATCCGCTAGTTCACTCCCCAAATGCCACAACGGCCGGAGCTGGGCAGATTGAAGCCAAGAGCCGGGTGCTTCTTCTGAGTCTCCCACGCAGGTGCAGGGGCCCAAGCACTTGGGCTGTCTTCCACTGCTTTCCCAGGCCACACAGGAGAGCTGGATTGGGAGAGGAGCAACCAGGACTAGAACCAGCGCCCATATGGGATGCCAGCGCTGCAGGCGGAGGATTAACCTGCACCACAGCACCAGCCCCATGTTATTTATTTTTAATGTTATCCAA